TTAGGTGAAACTATTCGTATCAAATCTACATTACTTCTTTAGTGTACAATGTCTTTCTTACCAGACACTTACGAGGAAGACAGAGTTTCTTGTAATGTGTTTTTTCAATAGTCATTGTGTTACATTTCATAATGTAACAATTATAAGAAATTAAAATTACAAAAAATTAAACTAATAAAGTATGATTATAAAATATGATTTGTTTAATGTTGGAACGTATACATTTTAATCGTCGGATTAAATACTGAATAAATTATTTCGTTGAAATTTAAAAGCTGTTGAAATATATTATTACCTAAGATAATTGATATCATATATTCAAAATAGATAATTTTTCATTTCAAAACTTGATACAGTTAATTAATAAATTGCATATCTATATAAAGTGTTTAATGCTACTGGAAGAACTTGCAGAATGAGATGCTCAGGATCCAACGTAGAATTAAATATCTATTTTAACAAACATTTCTTAAAGTTAAAATATCTCAAACTAATAATTCTTTTTTAAATTAGTTTACTGTAATGCGTCATTTAATTTACTATATCTTCAAACTTACTTTATAAGCAAAATAGTAAAAGGATTTAAATTATGCAAAATCTATATATTTTTACTATGAACAATAGCGCAACTAAAATAAATACATGCATCGTTATAGTTCCGATTATAATCTCTTCGAATTTATTTAGGAAAGTATAACTCGGTAGAAACTTCAGTAACGCAAAATCATTTACATCTCATTTCAGTAAGTTTATCAGCCCTAATGAAATCTACAGAAATGTCTTTTCCCATAAAAAGGAAACCCCTATTATCAATTACAAAATTCAAAAACAAATTTTCATCTTCCATTGACTCCCATAATGTTCACCATTACATTCTACACGAAACTAGAACTAATTCTTAAAAACTACACAGAGCGTAAGGAGCAAGGGAGCAGGAAACATAAATCAATCAACACAAAGTCCATTATTTTGTAATAATAAAATGTATTATAAATAGATAGTGTATTGTTGGCAATACTTATCGAACTACAAATTTTTTCATTCGTGGTACATGAGACTTGCGTGTATTGTGTGTTTCATCGGTAAATGTAAATTCGCTGCGAAGAACGACGAGGCCTGTCCGTTTGGCGTACGCGCGCGCGGCGCAGGGGCAAAAATGGAAGAGCAAAATATCGAGTCGCAAAATCGAACAAAAACCTACTTTCTTGCCAAATGAAAAATTCTACAAAATGCATCAACACCGTCGTGGCGGACGGACGAGGCCCGCCCCTTCGCAGCGTGCAGTATTCTTTCCACATTATTTCGTTTCGTTTTCATCAAGGCTTGCCATTTCTCTAATTAACGAAATTCTATATGCATTTATCACCATTGTGGTCCCATTGTGGATTAAACGAAAGTCGTTCGAACCAGTATGCCTCGTGTTTATATACGATTAACGCGGACAAACAATCCGCGCGTCGTAAAATCCCCATGACATCTCCACTGAAGATTTGCCCGCTCTCCGGCGCGGTCCAAAAACAAGTGCCATTGCCCAAAATCATGTTTTCAATGTTAAAACGAATTGTAAGCCGGAGAGACGTAAAATACACGAGAGTCCGATTCAACCTGTCACCGTCTAGGACTTGGAAAATCTCATCGAGACATTGGTAACACTGGAATCCAGTTCAAACGACTTCCGTCAGCCTATCAATTGGCTCCCAAATCGCTACATCGCATTTCGTTCTCTTAGTACGTATAGCTACTGTCTCTCTCTATATTTCTCTCTATCTCTCTATCTCTCTATCTCTCTCTCTCTCTCTCTCTCCCTTTTTCATACGCAAATAATCACATGCATACACTTTCATTCCGTCGCTCTTTCTCGCTCTCTCATCCACTCGTTCTTGTTCCCTGTCCATCCTTTCATACTTTTCCTCTCGCGCAAGCCCACCCTCTCCCTCTCTTTCTCTCTGTTATCTTTCGTCGAACACGATCTCCCGCGCAAAATCTTTCTCGAACGACCATGTCGGGGTCGCGTCGTATCACAAGGAGAAATTAAGTATACACACACTTTCGACGTTTCCGATGGGAATGGCCGCGACGATTGCACCTCCGGTAAACCCGATTGCTATCGCGCGGCCGACAAAAGGGGGAGAGAAACTATATATTTCGGTTGATTGATTGGTTGGTTGGTTTGTTGGTTGGTTGGTTGGTTGGTTGGTCTCGGAGAAATGGAAGAAAATATTAAAAAGAAATAAAATAAAATAAAGAAAAAAGAAACGGGGTTGCGAGGGTTGCTAAGAATGATTCGGTTTTCCTCTGAGAGCCAAGAGATCGACCTGTCACATTACATCGTTTCGTAACGGGCGTCGTTACATTTATGTGTATCTGTGAAGAACGTTGTATAAAATATTGTATAAATATATAAATACTTGATTGAAAAAATAAATATATTAAATTAAAAAAGAGACGTAACGTAAAGTATATTATTTATTAATATTATATTTAATATATATATATATAAGTTGTCAAGTCTATAACACGAGGGTTACGAAGAATCAGCGTCGTTCGGAGCTACGACAGAGTCCCCTCGCACGCGGTTTCCGATCCGGATCGTCACGGGTGTGTCCGCCGCCCACGTTCTCTGACGTGCACGCAGAAATAATCCCGTGGAACCACTGCCACCACAATGAGGGAAAAAATCGTTCTCGATTCGAACATTTTTCGTGGCTTCCTATCGAGCTCCGCATGAAATCGACCATGGTGCTACTTCGAAGAACCACGCACGCTCCTTTGCCGACGCGGCGAAAACAAAATGGCGGGTTGCGGAAACTAAGAAGGATATGCATGCTTTTGGCTCGCAATCGGTAGAAATCTGTCGTCTTAAAAATGATCGTTCAAATAAATACGTAAATAATATTAATTGCACTAATTAACTAAGAAAAAAAAAGAAATAAAGAAACACGCACACGTACACACACACACTCTCTCTCTTTCGCTCTCTCTTTCTCTCCCTCACACTAGCTCGCTTCGGCTTGATCGTCAGCAACAAGTTAAATAATATACTCGAGAAAAGCTAAAGAAGCGTGCGAGTCTCGTTCGAAACAGTGGATACATCGATCGATAGTCCACGGTAATTGAACGAGGAACGAGTCGATCGTACGAATGAATCGAAGCGCGCGGTCCCGCCCGCTCGACACAGCGACTCGTTCCACTCGGCGAACCACAGACCGGGAGGAACACGGAAAAAGAAAAGCTCAGCGATAAACGCTGTCCGCTCGGAACAGAAAACGAAAACGGAGAGTGTTGCCCGTCGTATCCGAACCGCGATCAATAAATTAAATATCGATTAATAGTTATTAAACAGGTAAAAAATAAGATTGTTGTAGAAGAAGAAGAAAGAAAGAAAGAAAACAATTAGTCCAGTCTATAGGAGCAACGCCAAGGAGCTTAGAAGCTAGAACAGCGAAAGGGAAGTACCCTTTCTCTCTCGAGCCTGTCCAGCTTTTTAGCCGGTTGCGGGTGAGGAAAGAAACTCAAAAGTGAAGAACAGAGGAGGTAAACATCCGGAAAGAAGATGCAAGAGCGTAAAAGCCATCATACACGTTGAAACTTGCGGCGATGCGGCCATCATTACGAATGGTGGGTTCAAGCGTTTTTCAGTTATTGTTCAAGTGCAACATTTACAATAAAACCTTGAAAGACTTACACCCGTCACTTGTAGCATTGCCTGCGCCGCTGCAAGATTCAATGCGTTTCGGGAGCCTAACACATCGGGGAGCAGCGAACATTGACGAGGGAACCCATGGTGTAGCATCACGTTGGACGCTTTTGAAACGGTCTGC